TGATCGGCTCTTACATAAAGTTTACTGTTGGTAGCTTGCTGTGGTTCTTATGGAACCATTGGCCAGTCGTTAGCAGATCTACTTACACATCACTTTTGGTGGTGTACGTTCCATACAACAGCGCTTCATAAGCAGTCCATTTGACTGGAAGACGGCCCTAAAAATTAAAGTAGTTCGTAAACAATTCAATTTCAACGTAAACTAGGAACACATTTCCGGCCAGGTGAACCTCGCCCAAGCATAAGCTTCCACACGCAAAAGAATTGACGTCTGTCCGCGTCTTTCATGATTTTTCCTGGCTGGCAAGTTTTTGTACTGTAACAGCAGCATAAGTCTCTCGTCTAGTAGCTAAAAGTTGTAACAGGAGAAGATCAAGGCATGATTGATCATCGCAGTTATGCACACATCCTAAGCAGTTGTGAAATTAGAGCCTGAAAAAATTCACGCCTGAACGGGATTCGAACCCATGAGCTCTGTGATACGGTACATTGCTCTACCAACTGAGCTTTCAAACTAACTGGGAACTGGTCACACCGTGAGTTCGTAATATACCCGTAGATGATAAAGAATGCAATTGAATATATTTGAACCGCCGAGAAAGATTTGAAGACATGATTGATCATCGCAGCTATACACACAACTTAATCAGTTGTGAAATTAAAGCCTGAAAAAAATTCAGGCCTGAACGCTTGATAGCTCAGTTGGTAGGGCACGCTTGATAGCGCAGTTGGTAGAGCACTGCACGTTCATTTGTAAGAGAAGATCAAGGTAAGAGAGGTACATTTTCTTAGTTATAACCAAATTGGTCGACTTAGAAATAGAAAGACTGGGGTCCACCATAAGCTTGTATCGATCTTTAAGCAATTTGCACATTTTTAGTTTCCGTCTATTTTTGCGATACGACGAGAGAAGGAGAAGAAAATAAAGTTTCCTTGCAGATTCGGACGCGGAGCGATGGTCTTCATCACATTAAAGGGTGAGTGTCTACACCATTCGGTAACGAATGTGACGGGTAATCTTATTCTTGTGTCAAGATACAGTCACCACACATGTAAATATGAAGGCAATCTTGACAAGAAACCCAATCCCACCTGAGCTCTTGAGCCATTAATTATGAACCTAGCACACGATTCGCGAGGAATTACACGGACATTTATAATATTGGAGTGTTGATTCGGCTTTTAAAATAAGAAATAGAAAACTGTAAACTTGTGCCCAGCAAGTGTGAAATCGTGGAGCCATAGCCAGCTGCTCGGGTAGCAACTCTCGTAAGGTCTATCATAAATGGCTTGATACCCTTTGAGAGGACAATATA